TATTCTTTTATTGTTAATGATTTTTAGTTTTTTGCATGTGACTTTGTTAATTTTAACTTTAAACTTCTAATATGTTATATATTTATTATAGGAGAATAAAGAATATGGTAAATTTGAGCATCATTGATTAGAAAGCATAGTGAAGTTGCAGCAAATGTTTGACAAAATAGTAGTCACTGGTGAAACTGCATGGACTCCAGCTGCTGGGCCTATTTCTCCAGTACAACAACATGTGGGGTTTGAAGATGCTGTTGATTTGGAAGAAGGAAGTGGTGATTCTGATCAGGTGAATGTCATCCCAACACAAACTGGTGGAAGCAGTGAAAAAAGGAAGAAAAACACAATTGGTCCTTCACTTACCAGCAAAGGGAAGAAAGTGAAAGTAGGGGGTGCAACATACATGCAGAAACAATTGAATCGTCTTTGTGATGTAGTTGAAAGTTACACCACAACTACTTTGAGTGATTCATCAAACAAAAATTATGAAACATATCCTGATACCACTGAAGAATGTATGGAGATGTTGTTAACTTTACTTGGAGTTGAAGATGGTAATGAGCTTTTTATGTTAGGTACTCGGTTGTTTGTGAAACGAGAATACAGAAATATGTTTAGGAGTATAAAATCAGTTAACTCCAAACTTTCTTGGCTACAGCAAGAGTTGGAAAGGGACAAGATAAGGTTTGAGATGGAGAGGGAGAGATTCAGTGGTAGAAGGTATTACTAGGATGTTTGTATTTGAGTTTTTAGTATTAAGACATTCGTAATGCTTATATTTGAGATACAAAACTGTTTTCTTTTTTATTTGTATTTTCGTTGTATGTGGACTAATATTATGAATTTATGTCTTTTTCATAATGTTGTTTCTTAGAAATTGGACTAGTGATTTATAGTTCAAATAAGGATTCCATATTAATCCTTGTTTAGATTATCACTTATCTTGAAATATTAAGGTTTTTATTTTTTTGTTAATTTGTAAAAGTTAATAAAAAGTTAAAATAATATGATTCATACAATTTAAAAATTAATGGTGTCCACATTATCTAAAAGGGAAGGGGCAATTTGCATAAGTTTTGAAATTAAAAGTATAGATTATAAATAAAAATAAGTTTTGGGTTAAATCATTACAATCAAAGAATTTTAGGGGCTAGTAAACCCTTTTACCTTTTATATCAAAAGTAGCAATGTGCAGAATCTCAATAGCTAAGGACAACAGCTGAGGACAGTACGTATGCACTGCCCAAGAGCTGATTTGAGTGCATGCATTGGGACAGTAGGCATGTACTGCGCAAGTGTTGTATTTCAATCACACCAAAAAAGAAAGTCTGTCTTAAGAAAAGATTTCTCAACCACATAAAAGAAAGCCTGTCTTAAGAAAAGATTTCTCAATCACATGGAAAAAAATCTAAACATACATAAAAACACAACCCCCTATTTAAATTACAACACCCTCATGCACTTCTCCCAAATTCAATTTACGTCGAAGAGTTCAAGAGTTCAAGAGTTCATTTATTGTTCAACTTAAGAGAAAGATAAAAAGGTATGTTATCTTATTTTTTTTACATTTTTAATTTAGTTGTAAAAGTAATTAGATTGGTTTTTTGTGTTCATATGTGGATCCTAATGTTTTTCTTTTTCTTGGTAGATGGATTTAGATCCAAGGTGGAATTATGAAAATAGTGATGAGTGTGAGGTGGAGGAAGAAAATAGTGATGAGGATGAGATGGAGGAACAAGCTATAGAACAAAGAGATAAGCAGGTGGAAGGTAGACGAAAAAGATATAATATCTTTTATTCTCTTGTTCACGTAGGTGCTTCAATATCTTCAAAATATATTTCAAAATATCTTAACAAACAAAAAAGAAGAGTTTCAAGACTTTCAGGTTGGCAATGGGTGCAAGAGACATTGGCAACTCCAGGTGAAAGTTGTAAATTATTTAGAATGGAACCACATGTTTTTACGGGATTATGTTCTTTGTTAGTTAGTAATTATGGGCTAACATCAACAAGAGAAATATGTGCAGAAGAATCACTTGCAATGTTTCTTTGGACATGTGCACATAATCAATCTAATCGAAATGTGCAAAATCGTTTTAAACATTCAGGAGAAACAATAAGTAGAAAATTTCAAGAGGTTCTTGATGCAATGGTGAGGTTTTCAAGTGACATTGTGAAACCACCTGATTATAATTTTACCGAAACTCCCAATAAGATTCGACAAGATAGTACGTTTTGGCCTCATTTTAAAGGATGTATTGGTGCAATTGATGGTACGCATGTTAAAGCCACAATCCTTGAAGAAGACCTAATACCATTTATTGGTCACAAAGGCATCCCCACTCAAAATGTGATGGTAGTTTGTAATTTTGACATGATATTTACATGTGTAGTTACAGGGTGGCCTGGATCTACTCATGATGCACATGTTTTAACCCATACATTGGCAAATCATAAGGATGTGTTTCCTTATCCTCCTGATGGTAATAATTTTCTATTTATTTTGTGTTATAGTTTTTAAGCACAATTCTTAATGAATTTTTAAGAAAATTTTTTGTATTTATTATCAATAACTTCTCTCTTATATTTTAGGTAAATATTATCTTGTTGATGCTGGTTATCCTAATATAAATGGCTATTTGGCACCTTATAAAGGGGAAAGGTATCATATTCCTGATTTTAGACGTAGAAGCCAACCAATCGGTTATCAAGAAGTATTCAACCATGCTCATGCTTGTCTTAGAAATGTCATTGAACGATCTATTGGGTGTTGGAAAAATAGGTTTGAAATATTGTTTGGCATACGAAGTTATTCATTTACAACATAGAAGAAGATAGTAGCTGCAACAATTGCACTTCATAATTATATTAGGCAACATGCAATCAAAGATAAAGAATTTGATAGGTGTGATCAGAACCCAAATTATATACCTGAAGTGCCTGGAGAAGAGAGCATAGATCAAGAAATTTCTCAAAGTACTTTTGTTAGTACAATGGAGGATCGTAACAGGATTTCACTTAGAGATTCCATAACTCTATCCTTAATGCAAAATCAATCAAGATGATTATTTGACAAAAATTTTAATTTTAATTGTCTTATTTATATGACTTAAATGTAGTA